CGAGTTCCCGGCCCCGCCATGGCTCCCCGACCTGCCTGATCCGCCATGGCACCCCGAACAGGTCCCGCTCTGGAGGCCTGCCATCCCATGTCTGTGCTAAAGGACCTCCAGAGCGGATAAAATAAATAGTTGAGGCAACTTGATGTAGACTTTTGAGTTCTCTCAGCAATAGTATTTTAGTTCTTCTCAGTAAAGATACTTTGTTTAGCCAATGTAAATTTGTTTGTTCATGCAATGTTGATTGTTAGTGATGTGACATTCGACACCGAGGCTTCGAAGCTTGTATAAAGAGAAAAAAAAAACGAAACTGTCACAAATCAGGTCTCTGTGGCTCTCTCCGACGGCCTCCGGAGGGCACCCACTCCCGAGTACTAACGTTCATGGACTACATTTCCCATACACCTCGTACCTGGGACTGATTACTGGCACAGGTGTTTCCCCTTAGCTTCCCCATTTAAGCAGCTCCCAGACTCTCAGTGTTCGCGAAGTCTTGTATTGCCCCGGCTACATTTCTAAGCGTTTATCCCGTTTTGAGATCTCTTGTGTATTACCTTGGACTGTTACTACTAGTGTGATTCTCTGCCGCCTGCCCCGACCCTTGCTCTGCCTCTGTTTACTCTCCTGGATTATCCCTGCTGTTCGTGACGCTGTTGTTTGATTACTGCCTTTTTAACTCTGCCTTTGATTTACATAAAAGCTGCAAATGGATCCGCACGCCTCTGACTCCTCGTTACAGAAGACTTCGCCACACACGGAACCAGCAGCGATCTATCAGCTCACCACCGAGGTTTCTGCCCAGGCCTCCATGTTAGCATCTCATCAACAGCAGCTGCAACGACTCACCTCGCTCACGGAGGAGATGGTGAGGACACTGCAAGCCCTTCAAGTCACCATGCCTGAGCCCAGCATTCCTCCATCCGTTCTGTCACAAGCGGTTCCCAGTCCCAGTCACTCGTCGACCAGCCCACGTCTGGCTTTCCCCGAGAAGTTTGACGGCTCACCGGAAAGATGTAAAGGGTTTCTATTACAATGCTCCATGTTTGTAAATTAACAACCGCAGTTATACCCCACCAACGATAGTCGGGTTTCATTTGTTTGCTCTCTGTTAACTGAAGTACAGTTCTTTGTGGAGGTGGATGCATCCAACACAGGCTTCGGAGCCATACTCTCTCAGCGTCAGGGTAACTCCCAAACTCTTTCCCTGTGCCTTCTACTCTCGGAAACTCAACTATATGGAGCAGAACTATGATGTAGGAGATCGAGAATTTCTAGCCATGAAAGCAGCCTCCAAATCTTCCCACCAGCGCCCAGCAGGTCTTCTTCAGCCACTTCCTGTTCCCCAACGGCCATGGTCACACATAGCTATAGACTTTGTCACTGATCTCCCCAGCTCAAGGAACTATACCGCCATCCTAACGGTCATTGATCGTTTCTCGAAGGCATGCCACCTCATACCCCTAAGTAAACTCCCCACAGCCTTTGAAACAGCAGAGGTACTCTTCGAACAGGTCTTCCGTTTTTACGGACTCCCTGAAGACATTGTCTCGGACCGTGGTCCTCAGTTCACTTCCTGAGTCTGGTCCGCATTCTGCCAACACCGCAACATTAACGTCAGTCTCACCTCTGGATACCGCCCATAGTCTAATGGCCAGGTCGAGAGATTAAACCAGGAGCTGACTGCGTGCCTATTGCCATCAGAATCAGAACGACTGGAGTCGCTTCCTCCTGTGGGCAGAATACGCACAGAATTCTCTCCGCAAACCATCCACCGGCCTTACACCTTTTCAATGTGTACTCGGTTTCCAACCACCCCTGTTTCCCTGGTCCGGAGAACCCTCAGAGCTCCCTGCTATCAACGACTGGCTCCAGCGAAGTGAGGAGACATGGAATGTTGCTCATGTGCACCTTCAACGCGCCATCCGCAGGGTCAAGGAACAGGCCGACCGTCACAGGAGGTCAGGTCCCGCTTACACCCCAGGACAATGGGTCTGGCTCTCCACAAGAGACCTTCGCCTTCGGCTCCCGTGCAAGAAGTTGAGTCCCAGGTACGTGGGTCCATTCAAAATCATTAGACAGATCACACCTGTATCTTACCGTCTGGCTCTTCCCTCTAATTATCGTATCTCACCCACCTTTCATGTTTCCCTGCTTAAGCCTGCCGGTTGTCCGAGAGGAGAGAGGGACCAGGAGGAGGCCGTGAACGAGAGTCCCCCTCCCATCATCGTGGACGGCGAGGAGGCGTACCAGGTACAGGAGATCCTGGACTCCCGACGCCGGGGCAGGTTACTCCAATACCTCATTGACTGGGAGGGGTATGGTCCTGAGGAAAGATTGTGGGTTAATTCTCAGGATATCCTGGATCCTTCACTCACTACTGAATTCCATAGAACCCACCCTCACAAACCAGCCCCTCGCTCCCGTGGAAGGCCTCGGCGTCGTTCACCTCCTCGCTTCAGGAGCCGCTCGCGGGGGGGGGCTCTGTCACGAATCAGGCCTCTGTGGCTCTCTCTGACGGCCTCCGGAGGGCACCCTCTCCCGAGTACTAACGTTCATGGACTACATTTCCCATACACCTCGTACCTGGGACTGATTACTGGCACAGGTGTTTCCCCTTAGCTTCCCCATTTAAGCAGCTCCCAGACTCTCAGTGTTCGCGAAGTCTTGTATTGCCCCGGCTACATTTCTGAGCGTTTATCCCCTGTTTTGAGATCTCTTGTGTATTACCTTGGACTGTTACTACTATTGTGTCTATCTGCCTCGGTTTACTCTCCTGGATTATCCCTGCTGTTCGTGACGCTGTTGTTTGATTACTGCCTGTTTAACTCTGCCTTTGATTTACATAAAAGCTGCAAATGGATCCGCACGCCTCTGACTCCTCGTTACAGA